ACACACACACACACACACAGACCCACAAGCAAAGTAAAGCAAAAACCCGTGGGGGGGAGAGAGCTCCTGTGGCTCGGGAAATCCTTGCCCACCCTCCTCCTCCCCCTCCTCCTTGTGTTCTCTCACTCACTCTCTCTCTCTAGCATTTTCCCACACCCTTCCCAAAACCAGCATAGCGCAATGTGCGGTTTTTTCCCCATTCGTTTTTTCCCTTTTGTTTGTAATCTCGCATTCCCCTTCACACCCTGGATCTTGCCCCACCTTCTTTCCGTATCCTTCTCCTACGTGGTCTTGTTGTCCAGACGAACGTTCATTGCCCGGCTCGCCATCTCAATCCCGTCAAACTCGGCTATAGCAACGTTTGCCTCCTCCTCCGTCTTCATCACGACGATGCCCATTCCCCTGCTCTTCCCATTGCGTCCCATGATGACCTCCGTCCGCTCCACGTTGCCCACCTGCTGGAACGTCTCCCGCAGAGCACTGCTCGTACAGTCAAAAGGCAGATTCGAAACGAACAGTTTGCGGCCTGTTTCGTTCACCTGCTGACTGCGCGGCTTGGGCACTACCTCGTTCATATCATTCAAACTGGAAGCACCACCTTCTTCACCCATCCCATAGCCACCACGACCGCTGTAGCCTGTACCACGGCCAAAGTTGGTCGCGTTGTTGTAGTTTGAGGCGTTGGGTGGGGTACCTGTGTACCCGCGGAAGCGTTGCTGCTGCTGTTGCTGCTGCTGCTGCTGCTGTTGTTGTTGTTGCTGCTGGGCCTGACGGTCGTACTGTGGCATCAAGTCACGTTGCACAAGAGCTGGGCGAGGGCCATCGTCGAAGATGCGAACAATAAGGCGTCGACCTTCAAAGTCTGTCTCATTGAACAAACGTATGGCGCGCTGCGCCCCCTCCGCTGTAGCCATTGTCACCAACGCCGATCCCTTCGGCCGCCCCATGCGGTCTGCAATGAGGTCCGTGTAGCGCACCTTGCCGGCGGTCCTGAAGTGGTCCTTCACGTGCTGCCACGGCGTCTGGAAAGGCAGATTGCCGACGAACAGAATATTGCCCTGATTCTGGCGACGGTCCATGTCGCCCGCCTCCTGCGGGCCGCCTGACGCAGATGAATGATCATCAAACATTGCTTATCCAATTCTTTGTATTATGAGACTTCCTTTCGCTACCTTCTGTCCGCCGCTTCTGAGTATTTCAGCTCCCTATCTTCTTTTTTTTTCCTTTCCTCTCGTTTCTTCTACCCCTCGTGTTTTTTTTCTTTCGTATTTCGCTTCACAGCCAAAAAAAAAAAAAACACCAAAAAGAACCGGCAGTATTTCCTTTTCTTCTTGCTTTTCCTTCTCCTTCTAATATTTATTGTATTAGTCTTAAGTTTTCGGCCTTCTTCAACTTCTACTTTCCCAAACCAGCTGCACTGCTTGCAGGCGTGCGGGGTGACTGCGGAAGGGGGCGGGCGCGCAACGGAGGGGAGAGAGAGCGCAGGTGCGCACAGAGCGACAGGCAAAGGCATTGGCGGCGCAACAACAGCCCGGAGGCAAGGGAAGAATAGTTTTAAAAAAGGGTATGCTCAAATAAGAATGTAAACGAAAAAAGGAAAGGAAAGAAGAGGACGCTGCGGCTAGTTGGGAACCTTCACCTTGCCCTCGCGGACCTTGTCCTGCATCGCCTGCGGGCTCTCGCCGTCGATCGTGCAGCCGACAGAGACGGCCGTGCCAAGAACCTCCATCACGACAGACTTCATGTTCGCACCCATCGAGTTGGGCGCCGCCTCCTTCGCGATCTTGAGGACCTCCGAGAAGGGGATATTGCCGTTGTGCTTGATGTTCTTCACCTTCTTGCGGTCGCGCGGCGGCTCCTTCAGCGCGCGGATCAGACGCGACGCGACGGACGGCGTGACGACCACCGACGCCACACGGTTCTTGACGCGCAGCTCGCACGTTACCTTGAGACCCTTCCAGTCCTTCGTCGACTTGGCGATGTCCTCGCCGATCTTCTTGGCGTTCAGACCGAGCGGACCGACCTTCGGTGCGAGCGACGCCGTGGCGGGCACCTCGCCGCCGACCGCGCGCACAATGACGGTGATCTCCTGGTTGGGGTCGAACTTCGGAGGCATCAGTTCGATGAAGTTCCTGAAATAGAAAAAAAAGATAAGATAAAGAGTAAAACGCTAAAAAATACAGCAGTGATAAGCACCAGAGGAGTCCAATAGAATATAATAATTCTATTTCTCAAGAGGCGGCCCTTCATCACTCTTATTTAGTGTACGAGAAGCACTGTAACTGACCCGTTGTCATCAAGGTCAACACGTAGTGATACCGGCTCTGCAGGCGTGTCCAAAAGGTGATGCAAGACACCAGGACCAACAGCTGCAGTCACAGCATTCACCACAGACCGACCGTTCTCCATAGGGAGATCATCCCGCACCAAGTCGACAAACCACGCAGCCACGTCTTCGCCCAGATGTATCTCACGAATTCTATCCTTGTGTCTACACCTATAGTCACTGATAGCAAGACGCACGATTTCTTTAGCTGTTGCTAGGGAAACGGGAAGAAATGGATATGTTTTAATCATGGATGTTGACAAATGGCTGTAGAGACTTTTAAAATCATCCTCCACAATTCGACGCATTTCAACGAGACTTTTTCCCTGCGTTCGGCCCTGGCGCCCAAAGTCTGTCGTAATGATAACTGTCAAGGAGTTTATTGGGGTTTGTGGGGCCTCGGGGAAGACGGAGGCTCTACCCAGCAGTGGGAGTAGGACACGCACGAGGTCTGGATGCAAAGCCCCGAGATCATTGATAATCACAACTCCATTCCGCGGAAAAGCCGCGGCGTGCCGCACTACCTTCTGCACAACATCCCTGCGAAACGCACTTGCAGAATAACCATCGTAGCTGACTCCGGAAAGCACAAGCGTGGTGTCCCCAACCATACACACAGCGTCACGGCAGTTAAAAGCAAGAACGAGAGAGACAAGCTGCGCCAGCGTCGTTTTGCCCACACCATTATCACCAGCGAAGTGAAGCACCAGTGGTTTATCAGGATGTGCAAGCTTGAGGGCAATGTCCTTTATGACACTCTCAACAACATGCCGCTGCCCCTTCAGATTTCGTTCCGTGAGTTGCCTTAGTCGACTCAGCACCTCATTCTGGTAATCACCACGGTCAAGACGCACAGGGACTCTGAAGAATGCGCAACTCACTCTCGCGGAAAGAGCACAGTGAGAACTACACCATGGGCCTGTAACACATTCCTTATCAATGCATAGACTCTGGTCAGTGCCTAAATACCACAGCGTAAGTGCTGCGAAGACTACCACAACTGCCCAAAGGCCACCTACGCTTGGGGAGAGATACATGCCAAATAACTTGTCTAAAAGCAACACTCAAAGGTGAGCCAAAGAGATCGTAGCGCTGAGCAAAGAATACAAATTAGAAACATTGCGCCTGCCCCTCAGAAACAAGACATAAGAAAAAATCTGTCCTACATTAGTTTTGGAGTTGGCTTGTTGTTTAATATCTGTTGGTTGAAGAAAGCATTTATCCCAGTTAGAGAATGTTTTTTTTTCCTAGATTCCCCTTTGCATTCCCAGTTGAATTGGTTTTCACTCACCATGCCCTCTGAGCTAAACATTCAATTTGTTTTCTTCCTCGAACTCAAGGTCATAGCAATTCTCAAAAAGATTCGCGTTTTCCACATCATCATCATCATCATCTTCATCCATCTTACCCTTGATGGAGGGCTCGCAGACTCTGTGCACGCGGAGTCCGCAGAAGAAACACCACTTTGATGCTGTCAGCAGCGCAATAAATGAGCAAAAGTGGGATTCTCCCTTCCATGTTTCTCTTAACTTGATGCCTTCCGCCAGAGCATAGATGGACGCACAGAAAAACGCCAGCGTGCCAATCAAGACACCGGACTGAAATATGATTCGCATTGCACTTCCAGGTGAAAAAGCACGATACAGTTTTGCATCTGGCACCAAATACAGCACCGTTGTCCAAGCAATGAACGCAATTGCAGCACCAAATCCAAATGCGGCCAAATAATTCTTGAAATGGCTCAGAAATATAAAAACACCAATCGCGTACGAAAGTGCAAACACCACGTAGAGTGTCACACGAATCCGAAGACAAGCTTTCTCAGAGATGCTCATTCCAGCTGTATTGATCTGCAGAAAACACTATCAACGGAATGGGATATATATATATAAAGGGAGAGAGATAGAGAGACATATATAGAAACAAACGACATGTGAGAGAGAGTGAGAGAGATGCCCGAAAGTCACCTATAAAAATACTGACAGAGAGATTAGGTTAATTGGGAGTCAACAAAACACCCAAAACCACATTTTAGGGACGTGACTTCACCATGATACCCTACATCAAGAAAACACCCGATCCAGTAACAAGAAAAACAAACCGAAAACCTATGCAACGCCCAAAACGAGCTCCTTGTTGGGCAGTGCTACGCTTTTTCAGTCAATGTTTAGACAAAAGTGACGTTTACATGATTCTATCCAAATTATCAGAACCAGTTTTCGAAGTAGCGGTCACATCACATATAGAAATGGTGTGCCAGTAGCGTTAAACCCGTTGTTGTATCGACGTACATTGCCTTTTCCTGCATCATGCGGACGCCCACGCAGCCATCTAACTGTGCGCGAGTGGAGTTCTTCCAACCTACATTCGCCCTCGATTACAAACATCCATCGCGGCGTTATAGTCACCGAGTTTTTACAAACACCACTGTTGAACCGAAGTGGTGAGGCGGTTTTCCTTCTGCAACAGTTCGCTTGGATTCCACGTAAACGTGCATAGCGGGGCCAAATCTACGGACAAACATAGGTATTTCACTTGTCAAGTAGAAACCAAAAGAAAAAAAAAATCGTGGGGTTTGCAGTGAAAACACAAAACGGTGACAAGGGGCATTTGCACACCGGCCATCGCGACAGCGAATCTCGACACAAATCAAAGCTTCGAATGGCATGGAGAATGTTTGGCCAGCGCTATTTCCTTTCCGAGGCATACTACTTTTATTTCCCTTAATGGGTATTTTCACTCTCTGCGTAACGGCCCCTTCATTAGATACAAGTGGAAGCTAGCACAATTACGTTTCCTTTCACTTATACAGGAAGAAAAAAAATTCAACCACACTGAGGGCGAGCGTAATGACAGAAAAAAAAAAAAAACATGAAGCAAAAAGAAAACAGAATCAGCGGATCCCTATCAGACGAATCTTACTGTCATAAAAGATACCGGGCCATGAAGCGCACACTTTTTTGTGTCTGTCTGGGTGGGCTCCAACAACAAGGCGAGTGTACCGCTGTTGTCGTCCCCCACTTGGAGCAAACTCAATTCCGTCTTAGCTTGGCCACCCGCAGGTGGGGAAGAATGCCTTCGGCGCCCAGCGAGTGCTTGTATATCCCCCCATGAAACACATCAGTGGCGTCCTTCCCCACATACATGTCCAGAAGCTTTTTGCCTCCGGGATGGGCATTGTACCAAACAATTTTCTCGTCCGTGTGTGTGTATCCCGAACCAATGGGAACAGACTTCTGCACATCGATCACATTGTCGCCGATCACAATAAGTCTTCGGCCTTCCCTTACAAGTCTCTCAATATCTCCCCAAGTATACTCCTCCGTTGCAGGGAGTTCGAGTTCTTTCAATCGTTTATCAACGCCTGCAACTTGGTTTAGGAGTTTTTTCTGTCGGAGTTGGTTCAGGTTCCGTTCAATTACATCATTGGGGGTGCGCACAAGGTTCGTGGCCAACCGCAAGAATTCACACGTGCGGATAGTCCACTTTGTCGGATCAAAGTGATACCACTTGATGCCATTACGATAGTCCTGGGCAAACTCGTGGTGGAAGTTGTGGTACCCCTCTCCGAATGTCACGAGGGCACACACCATCGAATCATGAGATGAGTGACGGTCAGAGTAATTCTGCACTGCACCAAAGAGATTCGTGTGGGCCAAACTGTTGATGAAGAAAGTGCAGTGATGTACAAACACCATCTTCGCCAACCCAGCGTAGAAGTACCCTCCAAGCCAATCACCCCATCCAAGTCCACAGATCAATGTTGGAAGAATGATACCAGAAACCATAGCCATTTTGAAGAAATGGCGGTGCTGAAACTGGACGATGTTGTTGTATTTGAAATCATTGATATCAACTTTGCCAAGGAGAGCGTAATTTTGCTTCATGATCATCCAGCCCATGTGTGAGAAGAAAAAGCCACGGGTGGCATCATAGGGGTCCTTTGGGGTATCAACGTAGCGGTGATGGATACGATGATTTCGGCACCACCACTTAGCTGAGCCTTCAAAAGCTCCTGCTCCAGCGAATGCACAAATCCATTGCAGTATTGGGTGAGCACAGAAACTTCTGTGGGAAAAGAGACGGTGATATCCCACAGTGACACCAATCATGCCATTGAAAATGTAGAATAGTGCAGCCACTATCAGGGTTTTTTGCTGTAGAGGGACACCTGCAAAAAAGGCTCCGGCAACCATGAGTGGGGGCACAGCCAAGACGGCGACAGCCACCCAGTTAATCTCATAGTTACCCTTTGTCCACTGCGGCAACTCACATGAA